GAAAAAAGAAAAAAACATGAAATGAATCGGTGGCTCCCTACAGCCTGTTATACACCAGGCAACTATCATGGCCCCATTCGCTTTTGAGCTCGGCGATAATGAAAAGAGATGCCATAATATAGATAATGCCGCACGGTGAGAATAAACCCAAAAACCAAGAGAGATAAAGTTGTTTACTGACAAAAGCCCGTGGTTGAAAAATGGTATGGGAGCAGGCAGACCAATGGAGAATCAGCGGGGAGAGATAGCCGAAATGAGAAAGTCCTTGAGGGGGAGGAAGGGGGGGGAGGCGTACCAGACATATGCCCAGTCCGAGAGCTGCTGGCGGGGGTGATTCGCCGGCTGGGGTCTCCCTGGGGGGCAAACATGGTTCCCCGGTCGGCTGATAAGATCCCAGACCAGGCTCTCTCCAGGGGAACATAAAAAATCCAGCTCGACATTACCGCAGTATTTATCAGGGCCTATCAGATGCTAGTGGCCTTATCTCGCCAACACACTCTTAAACACGGATACCTATTTTTGCAAGCATAGCTCACATTCAAATAAGTAGTTTTCCCAGAGTTGAGAAGGCCCCAGGATGGATGCGACGCTGGTTAATCGGAAAAAAAAGAGAGAATGGAAAAGTAATGTATTAATAAAACAAAAGGGAGTTTATGGAGTTTGGAAGTTTGGTGAAGATTGTTTGTTGTTGTAGCAGAGATAACAGACTTAGCCACAAAACGCTCGATCTTTTTAGCGTAAAAATACGTATATTTAGTTCATCTAGGGCTGAATGCATACCACACCAGCAAAATGTTAAAATAAAGTCATTGTTGTGCATATAAGCGCCACACTTACACTCTGCTTCAGGTCGCAGACGGACAAACATCTCTTGATAAGCCAGAATTTGGAAATGGCTCAGTATTTTGCAACAGAAGAGACAAGCGCAGAATCCTACATGGAGCACTATTTAAGACAAAGCAGCGTTAGCAGCAACCAATACATCTCTATGGGACAAGACAACGTTTCTGTCGTTCCTACTGGTGACCCGGGTCCAAACAACACGCCAAGCTTTCCCATGTGAGTCCCAGCTGTGAAACCTTGTAATATTCTACATCAAAACTGCTCTGAAAGGACACCATATAGTAAGAATAACAGTGATACCAAGTTTGAGACAGGAGTACTTGGATAGAAGGGGAGGGGGGATGTGTGTGTGACCTTCCAGACATTAGCATGGATGGATCTAAAAACACTTTTGATGAGGAAAAATGTTGTAATATGGTTAAAATCTGAACTATGTGTCTACACTCTACATGGTTGTGTTTACATCATGATTTAGGATCTGGTACTGTATGCTAGCAGAGTAGAGTAGAGTAGAGTAGAGTAGAACTGGTCGAAACGAGACCGTTTTGATCGTGATACAAAATATCACGTTATTAGTCGAGGGTGATAATAGTAGAAGCTGTTAGTGGAAGACGTGTGTCTGTGTGTGTGTGTGTGTGTGTCTGTGTGTGTGTGTGTGTGTGGAGAGCAGAAGCAGCCCATTCATCTGAGGGATAATATGAGCACAAAGCATTACAGACAAATAGCTTTCACTTCCATTTGCTTTATCACTGTCACCGCAATTAATAGGCCACGGATCCCCCGGTTAGACCGGCACACACACACACACACACACACACACACACACACACACACATGCACACACACACACACACACACACACATGCACACACCAGGTCGGTCTGAGAGAGGATAGGCCACGGATCCTCAAGTTAGACCAGAGTACACACACACACACACACACACACACACACACACACACACATACACACACATACACACATAGACACACACCCCAGGCCTGAGGGCGGAGCTGGAAGGCTGACCTTGTGTCCTCTGCTGGGACACGGAGACAATACGACTTCAATATTTGATGTATTCATTAAAGAGAGGAAGTGAAACTCAGGATTGTAATTGTCTGCTCAGTGTTGTGAATGAGAACTCCAAATCTACTCCAGAATCTGTCGGAGTTTTGGCTATATTTGAAATGTCGACTCGACCCGCGGTCAATCGTGGGAAAGGTTGGCATGTTGTTTGGGACCGGTGTCAACGTTTCACCATGGGAAAAAACAGAAGGGAGAAGACTAGACCAGAAAGAGAGACCAGAGAGAAACCAGAGAGAGCCCTATCTTCTTCCAGAGTCAATCAATCAATCAATCCAATTTTATTTATAGCGCTTTTCATACAACAAACATGCAACACAAAGTGTTTTACGGTTTAGTTAAAAACAATCCAATATGCCCAACCCTAATCCCCACCTCCCCACAGACCCTCCCAAAAACCACATTTATTATTGTATATACACCCACATGCGTGTACACACACACAAACAGACACACACACACACACACACAAATATTACACTACTGTGCGTGGAGCTTACTGCGCTCTTCCACGCGCCGCCCTGGGCTTCTCAGACCACTCCATGATCCACCTGGTTCCTGCTTACAGACAGAGACTAAACCTCTCAAAACCTGTAGTGAGGAGTTCCAAAGTGTGGTCTGATGAAGCTGTGGAAGAGCTGCGCTCATGCATGGAATCTACAGACTGGGACCTTTTCAGAGCTGCCACAGATAGTTTGGATGAATACACGGACACTGTGACGTCATACATTCACTTCTGTGAGGATAGCATCATTCCAACATGAACCAGGGTCATCTATAACAATGACAAACCCTGGTTCACTGCTAAACTCCGGCAGCTCAGGAAAGCAAAGGAGTCTGCTTTCAGGGAGGGGGACCGCAGCGGCTACAAGGCGGCTAAATATCTATTCAGGAAAGAACTGAAAGGAGCCAAGTCCCGGCACAGAGAACGACTACAGGAGCAGTTTGGAAACAACGATACTGCTTCTGTCTGGAGGGGCCTACGGGAGATCACCAACTACAAGCCCAAAGCCCCCCTCTTTGCTGACGACCACAAATTGGCCAACGACCTGAACAGGTTTTTCAGCCGCTTCAACGCTGCCCCGGACACCTCCCTCATCCCCCATTACTCTAGCGACCCACCATCAGCTCTATCCCCACCCTGACAATAGCCTCAGAAGACATCAAACGTCTCTTCTTGAGACGTCTGAGACACACCCGCAAAGCCCCTGGCCCGGACCATGTGTCTCCGGCCACTCTGAGACACTGTGCCAGTGAGCTTACTCCTGTCTTCACTGACATTTTCAACACCTCTCTGCAGTCCTGCCATGTCCCGGCCTGCTTCAAATCCTCCATCATTGTCCCCGTCCCGAAGAAGCCCAGGATCACAGGACTCAATGACTACAGACCTGTAGCACTTACGTCTGTCGTCATGAAGTCATTTGAACGCCTGGTTCTCTCCCATCTCAAGTCCCTCACCTCCCCCCTCCTGGACCCCCTGCAGTTTGCCTACAGAGCCAACAGATCTGTAGACAACGCCATTAACCTAAGGAAGCAGCGAGTGCGTCTGGGGAAGAATGTCTTGGACTATCGGATTATGAATACAGGAGCCCCACAGTAGAGCCCTGCACGGGCCTATTATCTGGGCCCGAGCCCGGCCCTGGCCCGAAGGGGTGGAACCCCAGCCCGGCCCGGCCCAATATGGTTTCTGAATTTTCAGGCCCGAAACCCGCATCAAGCCAGACTTTTTTTTTTTGTAACATCCCATAACAATGTTTTAGCGTAGTATATAGTGCCGCGCACTGATATGAACGCAGACTTAGCTAGAGGGCGGAGTTATACATGGTAGTGATGTGTTGCAATGAGTTCTTTGTGTGCGGAGTGGTGCAGAGTGAACGGCCGCATCTGTATGATGCCCAGATGCTGCAACACACTAGTAAGTAACACTATGTGCCGTCAATGACAACACTACAGCGTGATAGAACGCTATATTCAGTGGGTGCGTTCGTAAATGTATTCTGCCGCTCTGAAAATGAAGAGCCCGAGCCCGGCCCGTGTCCGAGGTCATTATGCGGTCATCGGCCCGAAGCCCGGCCCTCGGGCTGTCGGGCCGTCGGGGCCCTCGGGCCAAGGGCTCAAGTGCAGGGCTCTACCCCACAGGGCTGTGTTCTTTCTCGACTGCTCTTCTCCCTGTACACCAACCTGCACCTCCAGCCACGACTCCGTGAAGCTGATCAAGTTCGCGGACGACACCGCCCTCATTGGACTCATCTCCAACAACGATGAGTCCGCCTACAGGAGGGAGGTGGACCGGCTGGTGTCCTGGTGCAGTGGTAACAACCTGGAGCTGAACGCCCAGAAGACAGTGGAGATGATTGTGGACTTCAGGAAGAGCACTGTCCCCCCACCCCCACCCTCCGTGATGGACTCCCCCATCACCTCTGTGGAGTCCTTCCGTTTCCTGGGCACCACCATCACCCAGGACCTCAAGTGGGAGCCGACCATCAGCTCCCTCATCAAGAAGGCCCAGCAGAGGATGTACTTCCTGCGGCAGCTCAGGAAAGCCAAGCTGCCTGCACAGATGTTGGTGCAGTTCTACACGGCCATCATCGAGTCCATCCTCACCTCCTCCGTCACCGTGTGGTTCGCTGGAGCCACAGTCAGGGACAAACAGAGACTACAGCACATTGTGCGCTCTGCAGAGGAAGTGATCGGCCGCAGCCTTCCATCGCTGCAGGACCTGTACGTCGCCCGAGCTCGAGGCCGGGCTGGTTGTATCACAGCCGACCCCTCTCACCCTGCACATGGACTATTCCAACCACTCCCCTCAGGCAGGAGGCTGCGGTCCATCAGGACTAGAACCTCCCGCCACAAGAACAGTTTCTTCCCCTCTGCTGTTGGACTCATGAACACTTCTTAACCTGTCCCCCCGCCCTTTATAAAGTCACTTTACTGCCTATCATACGTCACTTTACTTCACTGTACTGTCACCTTACATTGTGTGCACCATGTGCACTTGTATATTGTAAATAGTAACTGTAACTCTATTTTAAATTTTTATTTTAAATGTATTCCTTAGAAGTGTTTTTTATTCTTTATTTTTTATTATGCCTCTTTTATTTTGCACCGAGCCAAAGCAATTTCCAAGTCTGTGACCTCCTGTTACTTACGTGGCAATAAAAATGATTCTGATTCTGATTCTGATTAAAGTCACAACAGGTAAAATAGGTAAAACAATAAAAAGAAATGGGGCTGGGAGCAGATGTAACCGGCTGAAGAAGCACCATCCATGGAGCCATCTGCACCAGGAGCAGAGAGCCGGCTGCAGCCACAGGGAACCACACGGGACCCAGAGGAGAGAGGAGGCCCCAGACCCCCACCAGGTCCAGGAGTCAGACCCTCATAGGACCCAGAGGAGAGAGGAGGCCCAAAACCCCCCGCTAGATCCAAGACCCTGACCCCTGCAGCCACAGCAGGCCCCAGCTCCCAGTGCAGAGGGCTCCTCCTGAGGAAACAGTCCTGTCCTCACGTGTCTCTCTCTCTTGGTCCCTCTCTTTGGTCTTTCGCTGGTCCCTCTCTCTGGTCTCTCTCTGGTCCCTCCCTCTGGTCTCTCTCTCTGGTGTCTCTCTCTGCTCTCTCTCTCTGGTCTCTCTCTGGTCCCTCCCTCTGGTCTCTCTCTCTGGTGTCTCTCTCTGCTCTCTCTCTCTGGTCTCTCTATCGGTCCATCCAGAGCCCTGTCCTCCAGGTGATTCCCTGAAATTGTAATCTACATGGCTGATAGATGCTGATGCGGTCAGGGCCACCACACATGCTGCCTCCCCCTCCCTCCCCCTGTCTCTCCCCCTCCCCCCCTGCACCTCTCTCCATCACAGGTCACCGGGACACTACAGGACACACTGATCTATCTCGGCCAAAAACACCACAATACGAATCAGATACAGCAAAATGAAATGCACCCAAAACGCAGAAGTGCAAATATAGATTTAATAAACTACAACACAAACGCAAACACAAAAAGTAACACGGACTGATGACAAGAGGACACACAGGTGACACACATGAGGGTCAAACACACAACAGGAAGTAGAACCAGGGAATGTGCAGGGTAAGAAGTCACAACATAAAACTGGAAAACACCTACAGTAAACCATGAGACTCATACACACATAGACACAGAAACAGCAAGGTTTTCTTCGGTGTGAAGTGAATCCAAGTCATCAGTGGCTCAAATATTTAGTGAACATTATTTATTCATTTCCTGAACTAAAGACAACGTTTGAAGACACAGAATGTACAAAATTAATTACTCTTCCAAAGTAAAATGGACAGAGCTGTGTCAGGGCTGTCAAACCAGGGCCGAGTAAATCAGAAATTCCTTTTCTTTCACCATTTTAAAGGAATTTAGAAATTTGGACAGTTTTTGTGACAAAAGTTTCATAATTATTGCTGTTTTTTTCCTATAAACAAAATGTGTTTATTGTTTAGATCGAACCAAAACCGGACCAAATATAGTTTTTGTGTATAAAACTATTTAACTTGGGTTAAAATGGAATAAATTAAATATGTTAATTTTCCTGTGAAAATAGATGATGTATAACATGCCACGGTCGCCCATAACCATCAATGCAGCAAGTAAATATTTATTACTGAAAATCTTTTTACGGACAACTTAAAATGGTGCTGCGAGCCGGACTTGGCCCACGGGCCTGAGCTCGCCTCAAATACTGAGATCATTCCTCACATCATGCACCCCTTTAGAGTCAGGTCCTGGGGCTCTCACCCTGAGACCTGCTGGAGCTCTGACTGCCACCCTGTTAGGAGGAAGAAAGTAGGGAGAGAGACAGACTAGAGAGAGAGAACAGAGAGAGACCAGACAGAACAGAGAGGGACCAGAAAAAGACCAGATAGAAAGAAAATTCCCCTCTTGCCCTGTGGGAGCCCTGACCCAGAGAGCCACCCCGCTGGTAACTGGTCGCTGGCTGATGGTCGCTGGTCGCTGGTCGCCGGTCGCTGTCGCTGGTCGCCGGTCGCTGGCTGATGGTCGCTGGTCCCTGATCGCTGGTGTCCATGGACCAGAAGCAGCTGTCAGGCCTGGTATGCAGGGCACGTCCCGCTCCTCTGCGTCCTATAGCGATGGCTTATCACCAGGGTACATATGGAACAGTGTACCCTCCCTCCCCCTCCCTCCCCCCTCCCTCACCCTGCCACCATCACACGCTGTCACAATCCTTATCACAGCTTCAACCCTCCCTCGCTCCATCTCGCTATCTCGCGCTCGTCTCGGAGATATGCTAATCGCTGTGTAAGTATAGCCTGTCAAATAATTACCATATATTAAGCCGTACTCATGGCTGTGATTTCGCCCTTTTGCACATAATACTATTTGGATTTCCTCAACCTTCCCCAAAAACACGAGTTCACCTTTAGACAATTGGAATATTCTTCAGATGGAGACGAAGAGAGAGAGAGTGCAACAGTTTTACTGCAAATGGCAGTAAAAAGAATCTGAATCTGATTCTGAGCAGGGAGAGGTCAGGCGGGAGGCGGGAAACTTTCTCTGGTCTCTCTCTACGGTCTATCAAGTTTCTCTCTGGTCTCCCTCTGTTCTCTCTCTGGTTTCTCTTTGGTCTCCCTCTGGTCTCCCTCTGGTCTCTCTCTGGTTTCTCTTTGGTCTCCCTCTGGTCTCCCTCTGGTCTCTCTCTGGTTTCTCTTTGGTCTCCCTCTGGTCTCCCTCTGGTCTCTCTCTGGTCACTCTCTCTCTGATTAGATTGGCTTTGTGAATCTAATCAAAATCAAATAATGATCATGGAATCATATTTGCTTTGGCTCCTGCTAAAATAAACAGTATGTTTTTTATAATCTAGCATCAGAAACACAACCATCCAAACAAATAAAACAAATAATTAGATCCTTCTAAAACGTATCTCGATATTCTTGGGTTTCATGAACCTGGCCTGTAGGGGGCGACTGAGCAGATGTGGGACAACTCAGTTTTGCTCCCATTGAAAACCTCTGTTTCGGAGTCAAAAGGCTCTCCTCCAGTGTGGTGTACGGTTGTTGGAACAGTCTTAATCGGGGACACACAATTCTAAAGGAGTACTAAAAATATTTCTTGATTTTGGGTGTTTTTGGAAAGAAAAAAAGAAGAAATTCCTGCGTTTCATTCGGGTGGCTTGTTTCAAAGACACTTAGGACTTGTTTCCATTCAAAAGATGAAGACCACAGTGAAATGTCTTCTCTCATCATCTCTGTTCTCAGACCCTTGAATACGTCACACGTTTGAGAACCTTTTTCCTTGTTCATTCATAATCCTCACTCACTCATAACCCCCTCATCTTCTCAATAATCCCTCACTCTCTGGTCTCGCTCTGGTCCCGAACCCTGGCGTTGTGCTGAGATGCAGAGTCGCTGATGCTAATATCCGTCCGCAGAAACACGAGCAGGAGGTGATCCATGATGGCGGCCGCGGTCCATACGTCTTTCTGTCGACGCCGCATACTATCGGCGCCGGGCTGTCGATACGAGACACGCCAAGGTTTGAGTAATGCCTGACGCGCTCGCACAACAGCGACCGCCACAACACATCAGCACAGCGCTCCACGAGTCTGATGAGGGATCACAGAACACCGTCACATCAGCAACTAACATGTGTTCAGGGAGTAAAGGTACAGTGTGGGATATGGACATTTATCATCTGTCCATATGTGTTTGTTTTTGTTGCATTTCTTGTGTTTGAACTTTTTGATTCTTTGTCAATGTCAATGACAACTTTATTTGTTGCACATTTACAACAACACCAGCTGCCCAAAGTGCTTCACAAGCACAAAAAAAACAAAACAAAAAACAGCATCACATACAAACACATACATGTAAAATTAAAATGGTAAAAGTCAAAACCAAGGCGTAAAAATGTCTAGATTAAAAAACCTCCAATGAAGAAGGGGCTCTAAGGAATCTGTGTTGGCGAGTCAATGGTTTTGGAAAGTCCTCTGAGAAAACTACTGTTGTGATTGAGGGAGTTACAAAACATATATTGACTTGTGGTCTTCGTGGTCAAACAGAGTTGTTACAATCACACTTTTAGACTAGAATCTTCTGCCTGTCAGGTCTCAGAGAACAGACTTTAAAGCAGATCTATTTGTTACAAGTCTCTACATGACATGTAGACATGTTAGTGCCATATGAACCAACTCTGAGGAGCACAGGGACCGGCCTCCTGCTGGGACTCTGAGGAGCACAGGGACCGGCCTCCTGCTGGTCCAAGAGTCAGGACTAAGGCCCTGCTTGGACGAGACAAAGTGTTGACGAAGAAATTTGTCAACTAGCACATGTAGCTAGTAAGCGTACCCGCCACCATTGTTGTTTACGTTTGTTCTCGGCTTCTGCACATGTCTGAATGTACGTGTAAACACCAAAAAAACCTGAAACAGTCTTCCTGAAGATGTGAGACAGGCTTCTCTCTAACAATGTTCAAATCCAGAATAAAATTGGAAATATCTTTACTCTTTCTATTGTACTGTATTTATTTATGAGTTTCCCATATCATCAAAATGTCATTACAATCTCTACAGTTACACACATTCAATATTTATCCGATTCTCACTTTTAAACCCATCTCTTGTTATTCCATTCAATCCGAGGAGGTCAGTCTGGGTTATAATTCTCGCTTCTTTCTTCTTCTCGCTCCCGGAGACTTCAGATTCAGATTCAGATCCAGAGCTCGCTCATATTACTTCTGCATGAGCCCGGTGTTAGCTCCACGCACACATGCAGCCGTCCCTACGCAGCGGTAATGAGTTCAGCTTTCCAGTTAACGGAATATTTATTGGCTTATTTATTCTTAATCAGAGAGGGGCGCCCAACCCTCGTCTCGCTCTAGTCCTTGTCTTGCTCCAATCCTCGTCTCGCTCCAATCCTCCCAATGCAAATACATAAAGACACGGGACCTTAGAGCGGTGACTACAAAGGTGTAGAGGAAGTTCAGGAAGTTGAGATGGGACTTCAGCACTTCTGGTGTCTTTGGTGATTTCAAACTGCTGTGACTGGTCTCTGGTCTGTCTGGTCTTTCTGGTCTCTCTCTGGTCTCTCTGTGGTCTCTCTCCGGTCCTTTTCTGGTCTCTCTGATCTCTCTCTGGTGTAGCTGGTCTCTCTCTGGTTTCTCTGGTCTCTCTCTGGTCTCACTGGTCTCTCTCTGGTCCCTCTCTGGTCTCTCTCTGGGGTCTCTGGTCTCACTGGTCTCTCTGGTCTCTCTCTGGTCTCTTTGGTCTCTCTCTGGTATCTCTCTCTCTGGTCTCTCTGGTTCGTCTGGCCTCTCTCTGGTCTCACTGGTCTCTCTCTGGTTTCTCTGGTCTCTTTCTGGTCTCTCTAGTCTCTCTCTGGTCTCTTTCTGGTCTCTCTAGTCTCTCTCTGGTCTCTCTGGTCTCTTGATGGACAGTGGAACAGCCTCCACATGTCCCCAGAGTGAGAGCCTAGTGTCTGGGCTGAATACGACCTCCCTGTCCCCCAGACTGGATGCTCTTGTGTTGGGTCCAGGGCTTGTCTCAGGGCCCCTGATCGACCGGCAGATGGCTCCTGACAAAGGCCTGGTGCCGTGGAGCCGGCCGGGCCCCTGCACACACGATTACCCCTGAAAGAGCCGTAGCCTCCTGCAGAATCACAAACACAGGGAGAACACCAGAACTGAGGCAGGAGGCGTGGAGGAGGGAGAGGGATGGTACCAGTCCCTGTGCTCCTCAGAGTCCCAGCAAGAGGCCAGTCCCTGTGCTCCTCAAAGTCCCAGCTGGAGGCTAGTCCCTGTGCTCCTCAGAGTCCCAGCAGGCCAGTCCCTCTGCTTCTCAGAGTTGCTTTCTCTTTGGTCTCTGACTGGTCTTTCTCTGGACTCTTTCTGTTTTCTCTCTGGTCCCTCTCCCTGGTCTCTCTTGTTTCTCTTGTCTTTTTCTGGTCTTTCTCTGGTCTTTCACTGGTCTCTCTCTGTTCTCTCATCGGTCTCTCTTTGGTCTTTCTCTGGTCTCTCTCTGCTTTCTCTCTGTACTCTTTCTGTTTTCTCTCTGGTCTCTCTCACTGGTCTCTGGTCCCTCTCACTAGTCTCTGGTCTGTCTGGTCTCTTGTCAAGAACAGGAACATAGCAGCATCAGCATCACTATGTTTGTAAGAGAGAGAGAGGGGGGGGGGTTCTCTCTCGTCACCGCCGCCCTCAGAATGGATGTTGACAGAATGCATATAAAACACAGCAGTGCCACTCAGCGCACGCCGGAGATGTGTGGAGGCAGGACTCCCATCATTCACTGGGGTTATGACCTCGCTGTAAATGGCCTGACGAGAGAGAGAGAGGGAGGGAGGGAGAGAGAGGGGGGAGGGGGGTGAGGCGCAGGGGGAGAGAGGGGGGAGTGATGGATAAGATCATGAAGAGCCACAGGAAGCAATGACCGCGATGGAGCGAGCTCAGAGGCCACGCAAATGTCAGAGGAATCTACAGCTGCAACAAATGTACTGTTTATTTAGAGCAAGAAATGGCAGAGTGTGTGTGTGTGTGTGTGTGTGTGTGTGTGTGTGTGTCTGTGTGTGTGTGTGTGTGTGTGTGTGTGAGCGAATGTCTGCGTGTGTGTGCGTGTATGTGTGTGTGTGAGTGTGTGTGTGTCTGTGTGTGTGTGAGTGAGTAAATGTCTGTGTGTGTGTGAGTCTGTGTGTGTGCACTTGTTTTCAACTCCTGGTGGGTTCCATAACCTGAGATTCCGCTCACGTCATGGGGACTGGTTTTACGTGGTGGGGCCCGAACACCGGACCCACTGGTCCAAGCTTAATAATCAATGGGTAATGCTTTTCTAACGGTCCTTATGCAGTCTCTGTAAAAATATGGAAAGGACCCCTGGAGGTTTACTTTCCTGAAAAAAGTGTGTTATGTGTCGGAACCCTGGTGGTGGGTTGCGGGATATCAGGGAGGGGCACACTGGGGCAATTTCAGTCCAGCAGGCTGGAGCCAATCATGGAGCAGCACAACAGAGGAAATCAGGTGTCAGGCTAGAAAAGGTGCAAGTGTGTGGTTCATTAGGCTGCAAGAAATCATGGAGGAGCACACTGAAGCGCACGCTTACAAACCACTGGTAAGTGCTGACTACAAGTCATGACTTCAAATTGTTATATAGAATGATTACAAATTATTTGTTGTTTGTGCAGCTTAGTCAAGAGTCCCTAATTGATGAAGTCGACCCAGATTCTGACGATTTAACTGTCAAGAAGAAACCTGTAAAAAAGTATAGAAAAAGAAAAATCAAAAACACTTTTCTTCAAGACTCGGAAAGTGACGAACCAAAGGCAAATAAGATTGTTATCATGCAGCTGCAAAAGAAGAAAAATGGGGGGCGAGTTTACAGCAAGAGACACTTCTGCCTCTACTGTTCAATGTCCTGCCACAAAATGTCCCGTCATTTGACTAGAAAACATGGAAATGAAAGTGACGTAGCCAGAGCATTGGCTCTACCTGTGAAATCTAAAGCACGTAAACTTCAGTTTGATTTGATCAGGAATAGTGGAAACCGTGAGCACAATTTTGAGGTTTTAAAGGCCGGCATTGGAACTTTAGTCCCAGCTAAACAGCCAAATTGCCCAGTTAAATCCAGTGAGTTTTTGCACTGTATAGACTGTGGGGCATTGCTTAAGCGAAAGTCGCTGTGGAGGCATGTGGCCAGGTGCCGGCTTTCACAGAAAGATGCCCAGGCTAAACCAGGTAGAAGTAGGGTCCAATCCCTCTGCTCCCTAGCCCAGCCTGTACCAGAGGGCATCAGCAAAAAGCTGTGGTCTTTAATTTGGCCAATGCATCAGGATGAGGTCACGGGTGTTGTCAAAGCAGAAAAGAGGATTCTGAGACTCGGAGAGCACCTGTACTTAAAACACGGGCATGATAAGACTACGCATGATTACATTAGGCAGAAAATGAGAGAAGTCGGTAGGTTAATTAACGAAGCAAAAACTGCAGGGAAACTGAAAACAATTAAGGATTTCTTTATTCCTTCCAACTTTAACCATGTGATTGATGCAGTCAGGTCTGTGGCTGGATATGATGAGGAAACAAATCAATACAAGACTCCATCCTTGGCCCTCAAACTCGGCCATAGCCTCAGAAAGCTAGCAGATATTCTTGAATGTGACTCAAAAATGGAGCATTGTGTTGATGAACTATTTATTAAAAACCTCCAACGAAGCCGGCTGCTTTTTGAGAAGAGGTGGGACGTCTGTGTTTCTTCTGCTGCCCTACAGACCCTCCGGCAAGCCAAGTGGAACACTCCGGACCTGCTCCCTCTGACTGAGGACGTTAGAGCCATGCATGCACATATTGAGGTATGTCGACCTGAATATGTGCAAACCCTAATAAGTGAGCCAACGTCTAAGCATTGGTCTAAACTGGCAGTTTTGACTCTTTGTGAGGTCATTATTTTCCATCGAAGAAGGGAAGGTGAGGTTTCAAAGATGCCACTGACAGCGTTTACCTTAAGAAGTAAGACTGGGATCCATTCTGACATTGCTCTGGGACTGTCCCAACTTGAGAAAAAGCTGTGTCAGCATTTTCAACGCATTGAAATTAAAGGGAAAAGAAGTCGGAAAGTGCCGGTTTTTTTGACTCCTGAAATGATTGCTTCGATGGAGGTGCTGGTGGAGAACAGAAGGGCCTGTTCCATCTCTGACCATAACCCATACTTCTTTTCCCGCCCGGGCGCAGACACCCACATCAGGGGATCAGACTCCCTACGGCAGGTAGCCAAAGAATGTGGTGCGGTGCATCCAGAGATGCTATCCTCAACCAAACTTAGAAAGCACATAGCTACTATGTCTACAGTTCTCAATATGAAAGAGAATGAAATGGACATACTTGCCAACTTCCTCGGCCATGACATTCGCATCCACAGGCAATATTACAGACTACCAGAGGGGACACTGGAGCTGGCCAAAATCAGCAAAGTGTTGATGGCCATAGAGCAGGGAAGAGTGACGGAATTCGAAGGAAAGAGCCTCGACCAGATACAAATTGAGCCTGAAGGTAATTCTTGATATTATTAAAATATGTATGATTTTTTTCCCCTAAAGGCCACTTGTATTTTTATTTTCTGTGCGACAGGGAGAGCAGTAGAGATCCTCTCACAAACGGACGGGCTAAAAGAAACTTCAAGCGGAGAACCTTCAACCATTCATCCAGATGCACCCCATGGTAGTGGCAGTGCCCCTTCTGGTAAGTGTACCAGGTGGGGGATTACAGCCAGGTTGCTTGGTCCTAACCCTGGGAGTGTATATTGCTAATATATTTTTATTTCTCTCCCTAGAACGTGTAAGAAAGCCATGGTCTGCATCTGAGGTGAAGGCTGTGGAGAAGACCATGACACCTTTCATACAGACTGGAAAAGTCCCTGGGAAGTCTCACTGCCTGGCCTGCATTAATGCCTCACCAGATGACCTTAGACATCGGACATGGAGTGGCATTAAATTCTATGTCAAAAATAGAATCACTGCAATTCGAAAAAAAAATCTAAAATAAAATTCCTTTAAAAGAGTTGTTTGGTTTCTATTGACTGTTTTGTATTACTTAAAGTAGTCCCAGTAAAAAAAGATTATGTCTATGGGTCCCATTCTGAACGGCCCTGTCAAAGGGACCCACCAGGTAACAAAAACGTGTGTGTGTGTGTGTGTGTGTGTGTGTGTGTCCGTGTCTGTGTGTGTGGGTGTGTGTCTGTGTGTATGAGTGTGCCTGTTTGTGTGTGAGTGAGTAAATGTGTGTGTGTGTGTGTGTGTGTGTGTGTGTGTGTGTGTATGAGTGTGCCTGTGTGTGTGTGTGTGTGAGTGTGTGGACGTGAGTGTCTGTGTGTGTCTGTGTGTATGAGTGTGCCTGTTTGTATGTGAATGAGTAAATGTCTGTGTGTGTGTCCGTGTATGTGTGCGTGAGTGAACGTCTGTGCGTGTGTGAGTGTCTGTTTGTATGAGTGTGTGTGTCTCATGTGATGCAAGTTGACAAAACATATAGGATTTGTAAAGTAGTGTTAAAGATTCTTTATTGATCCCTGTTGGAAAAATGCAGCGTCCAGCAGCAGCAGCAACACATCCAAGCAAAACACACAAATAAATACACAATTCTAAAAATAGTTAACAATAGTAACAACAAGCAACAGCACTTAGGTCCATTGTCTCTGCTCTGATTCTATAATCTTATTGTGAAACGCAGCAGATCCACCCCCCTCTCCCCCCTCTCCCCCCTCTCCCCCTCCCGTCTCTCCGTTTGTGCGTTTGACAGTTTTGACATCCTCTAACTCGTGGTCATTCACACAAAATTAGCCCATTGTGATTTCTGAGTGTCCCCCGGCCCCTCCCCTCCCCAAACACAGGGGTCACAGCTCCTCTCTGCACTGGCCCCTGTCCCACTGCAGCCATTACCTCCCCCACAGCTGCAGAGGAGGGGGAGGAGGGAGAGGAGAGAGAGAGAGGAGGATGGAGAGAGAGGAGAGCAGGAGAGGATGGAGAGGGGAGAGAGAAGAGAGCAGGAGAGGATGGAGAGGATGGAGAGGGGAGAGAGAGTAGGGCAGGAGAGGATGGAGAGGGGAGAGAGAGGAGAGCAGGAGAGAATGGAGAGGATAGAGAGGGGAGAGAGAGGAGAGCAGGAGAGGATGGAGAGGATAGAGAGGGGAGAGAGAGTAGGGCAGGAGAGGATGGAGAGGGGAGAGAGAGGAGGGCAGGAGAGGATGGAGAGGATGGAGAATGGAGAGAGAGGAGGGCAGGAGAGGATGGAGAGGATAGAGAGGGGAGAGAGAGGAGAGCAGGAGAGGATGGAGAGGATGGAGAATGGAGAGGAGGGCAGGAGAGAATGGAGAGGATGGAGAGGATGGAGAAGGGGAGAGAGGAGGGCAGGAGAGGATGGTGAGGATGGAGAAGGGGAGAGAGGAGGGCAGGAGAGGATGGAGAGAGAGAGGAGGATGAAGAATGGAGCAGGAGGGGATTGAGAGAGGAGGGAAGAGAGAGGAAAGCAGTTGAAGCTGGAGAGGGGAGGAGAGAGAAGAGAGAGAGGAGGATGAAGAGGAGAGAGCACCAAAGGCCAAAAACATACATGCATGTGGAAACCCAAGACAAATTTCTGTGATTTAAGTAAATACAAAATATCCATTGAATTGATTTGAACGGTTGTGTAGAGATGCCCCCAGCAGAGCCCAGGCTCCGGCCACTGCCCTGGCCCCTGGCTCCGGCCCCTGCTCCGGCACCTGCTTCGGCCTATGCTCCGGCCCTGGACTGAGCGTGTGCAGAGCCTGGGAGTGCGAGTGGGGGATGGAGGTCAGGCCAGAGCTGCTGCAGTTAACCTGGTCAATTAAATTCACATCGGGCCCAGAAATGATTTGCAAATGATACACAAACGGAGAGAGCGGTGAGGAGGCCAATCAAGACGTATGGAGGCTTAATGGGCCGTGAGGGTCTCCGAGCGCCGCCTCCACACGGTTTGTCATTAGGATCAGAGCAGACACCGCCTTTTAGCCACAGCCTTATTGGAAAGGTTAGAACTGATACAAGAGCAGAGGAGTCCTGGTGTGCAGAGAGAGACCAGAGGGAGACCAGAGGGAGACCAGAGGGAGACCAGAGGGAGACCAGAGGGAGACCAGAGGGAGACCAGAGGGAGACCAGAGGGAGACCAGAGGGAGACGGGAGACCAGAGGGAGACGGGAGACCAGAGGGAAACGAGAGAAAGACCAGAGGGAGACCAGAGGGAGACCAGAGGGAGACCAGAGGGAGACGGGAGACCAGAGGGAGACGAGAGAAAGACCAGAGGGAGTCCAGAGACCAGAGGGAGACCAGAGGGAGACGAGAGAAAGACCAGAGGGAGACCAGAGACCAGAGGGAGACCAGAGAGAGAGATGAGAGGGAGACCAGAGGGAGACGATAGACCAGAGGGAGACAAGAGAGAAATGAGAGAGAGGCCAGAGAATATTTTACACTAGTAAATTAATCTTATGACAAACTACAATCAAGCAAAAAAAATAAGTAAATAAATATGCATATTTAATGTTGTTTTTATTAAATTAATATTACCAAGATTTTACTTTTCGATAAAAGTCGAGGCCGAGTCCGAGTCCTACACGACGAGACCGGATCCTGCCGTTTAGACTCTGGACTGAGCAGAGACGACTTTGCTAAACGCTGGTCTCCATCTGCTGCTGTCTGCTCTCATCACCCACAGAGAGAGAGAGGCCTGGGGGGGAGGAGGGGGAGCAGGCAGGAGGCTGAGCGTGTTGGCCCCATGATAAGGTGATGGGGGTCTTCCTGGAGCATGGCGGGTCCCTGAGAGCCCCCCTGGGACCGCCCCGCCTCCCCCCGTGTGATTGATGCTGCCGGGACCCACGAGCACAGACCGCCCGGCTAAATTAAAAGCCTATTTTGTAAAGTTGTAAAGAGAACAGAATGGTTGGAGAGGAGGGGGTGAGGAGCAGGGGAGAGTCCCGGGGCCCCAGGGAGAGACCAGGGAGACCAGGCCAGCACTGCAAAAAATGATACTGATACAGAGGTGATTGTATGAGACCATGTGGGTCGTCTCCTGGTTGGCTTTATAAACTCAGAACGGATACGGTTGGGTTTGAGGATATATAACCGAGGGCTCTCTCTCTGTCTTGTCTTCCTCTGGTCTTTCTCGCTTCTCTATCTCTATGCCCTCTCTCTCTTTCTGGTCTCTCTCTGGTCTCTCTTTCTGATATCTCTCTGGTCTGTCCTCCGGGTTATCTCTCTCTTTCTCTCTCTCACACTCTCTTGTCTCTTTAGTTTTTCATTTATGTTCTCTCTGGTCTCTCTTTCTTAACTGTACGGCCATACCGCAAAGAATGGATACTTACCATCAGAGAGAGAGAGACTAGTGAGAGACCAAAACGAGACCAGAGAGAGGCCAGAGACTAGAGAGAGACCAAAGAGGGAGAGAGGAACCACAGAGAGAGAGACCAAACAGAAACCAGAGAGAGGGGCCCTTGAAAAAGGGAGAGACCAAAGAGGGACCAGAGAGATAAGGGAGTGACAATAAAAGTGTGGAACCAAAAGTAGGAAGGCCAGGAGAAGAAGAAGAGGAGGAGGAGGAGGAGGAGGAAGAGGAGGAGGAGGGCCACACGGAGAGGAGCTGGGAGCAGATGCAGCTCAGGAGCATAATTCAGATTTACGGAGCATGACGGACTTTGTAAATATCAGATTAGAAAATGAGCTGGTTTTGTGTTCGACGTGGGAGAGGGGGAGACAGAGGGAGAGGGGGAGACAGAGGGAGAGGGGGAGACAGAGGGAGAGGGTGGGAGGCAATGGGAGACTCCCCACTGAGAGGAGCAGAGGCTGAGATCAAAACAACGACATCATCCAAATAAAATAAAACGTATTAAAACAAAGAGATTACACCTGGACTTTCACTGACGCCAGAGGAAAGATTCTGTTTTCTCAGTGTGTGCCAAAATGCCTGTGTAATACTGTAAACGACCATAAGGGGGGGTCGTCTGAGTGATGGAGACTTGACTCAATGCAAGTGAGAAAATCTGATTTGACTGGAGAAGTTCTCACAACCCATTTAGAGGCAATACTTTTGTTTTAAAAAGAGAGAGAGACACCAGAGAGAGAGACCAGAGAGAGAGAGACCAGAGAGAGACCAAAGAGAGAGACCAGAGAGAGAGACCAGAGAGAGAGATCAGTGAGAGAGACCAGAGAGAGAGACCAGAGAGAGAGACCAGAGATAGGTCGGATTAAGACATACTGCATGAGAGAGTCCAAAGAGACACCAAAGAGAGACCAGAGAGCGAGACCAGGGAGAGACCAGAGAGAGGGACCGTGGAGAGACCAGAGGAGACCAGAAAGAGAGACCAGAGAGAGGGACCAGAGAGAGGGACCGTTGAGAGACCAGAGGAGACCAGAGAGAGAGACCAGAGAGAGACCTGACAGAGGCCAGAGATAGGCCAGATTTAGACGTATGAGAGAGTCCAAAGAGAGTCCAAAGAGAGACCAGAGAGAGAGAGAATGTAGTATAAGGCTGCAAGATTACTTCCATGTCGACTGGAGGAGGACGGAAGGAGAAGGGAGACTGGGAGAGGACTGGAGGAGGAGGAGAAGGAGGGGGACTGAAGGAGAAGGAGGAGAAGGAGGAGGACTGGAGGAGGACTGAAGGAGAAGGAGGAGGAATGGGAAATCCTGTGAATATTATTGAAGCGTTTTGTTTGTTTTTCGCTGCAACGATTTGAGAATCTGCTTCGTTTGTATCAGACTCCGACAGAAATGTCACCTCTGAACTGGACCGAGCTGAAGTCTGCTGATAAACATATGCTGAGGAGGAGGAGAGGGGGGAGGGAGGAGGGGAGGGGGTGAGGAGAGAGAGCGCTACATAGAAGGAGAGAGGAGGGGGGTGAGATGGAGGAGGGAGTGGGAAGAGAGGGAGACACAGAAGGAGAGAGGATTGGAGAGGGAGGCGAGGGAGGCACAGAAGGAGATATAAGGAGGTGAGGAGAGAGAGATGGGGGGAGACAGCCAAAGAGATGAGAGGAGAGGAGATAAGGGGAGGAAGAGGAAAGGGGTGACGGGAGAGAAGAGGAGAGAGGAGAGAGAAAGAGAGGGGAGAGGCTACAGACTTGATCATAGGACTAAATGTGTCTTTACCCCACAGCGTTTAGCTTAACAGGAGAGGCCGGTTTCGCATATAGCAACATCATAGCAACTGCATGCCAACCGCATAGCAACCTCCTAGCAACCAAAGAGCCAACCAAGTGAATGCATAATTGAAAAGTAAAATGTCCCATTGTTTTCCTAGATCATTATTTGATATAAATTAAACTCACAAAGCTGCTTTCTACTAGACAACATCATGCATATGTTTTTGAATAACGTCATTACTTCTTGACACATTTTTGAGAAAATCATAAGACCAGAGAGAGACCAGAGAGATCAGAGAGAGATCAGAGCGAGAGATCAGAGAAAGAGATCAGAGAGAGACCAAATAGATCAAAGAGAGAGACCAGAGAGAGAAACCAAAGACCAGTGCAAGACCAAAGAGATCAAAAAGAGAGACCAGAGAGGACAGAGAGAGAGACCAACGAGAGATCAGAGAGAGACCAGAGAGTGTTTGGATATGGATTGTTTCTTGAAATAGAGTAGAGCGAGAAATTATCTCTCAACTAAGACAAGAATCTGACTTTTGACTCTAAGTTACCGTAGTTCAGCTGCCCTCCACCACAATGTGAAACTATAGGAACTTTGTAACAACAATAGACCAGAAAACATGGGACCAGGTGAGATCACGAGGAGGTGAGAGGCTCTGGTCCTGGTGTGGCGGTCTCCCATCCTGCAGTGCTCTCTCTGTTTTGGCTGCGTGTCTCAGTGATAACCCGTTCCCGCTCGGATTGGGGTTTGTTTACTCTGCAAACATCACTTCCACAGGCCTCACCTCCTGTTAATTGGATTTGGAAGGTGTCCAAACGACGTGTGTACCCAGCCGTAATTATACGAGCCGGATCTGCACCGAATTTGGGAACGATTTAGGCTCCGACGGCACAGGCTTTATTATGTGAGAGAGAGAAGCTGAGAGAGAGGAGTAGAGTTGGGAGAGAGAGAGAGAAGCAGAGAGAGGAGCAGAAGTGCGAGAGAGAGAGAGAAGAAGAGAGAGAGAGGAGAAGAGAGAGAGAAGAGTAGAGAGAGAGAGGAGAAGAGAGAGAGAAGAGTAGAGGTGGGAGAGAGAGAAGCAGAGGTGGGAGAGAGAGAAGCAGAGGTGGGAGAGAGAGAGAGAGAGAGAGAAGCAGATATGGAGCCATACATGCTGCTACAATCTGCTAAATCAACATTTTCTCTCTTTTAACCATAACCTGTATACAGATGGATAGCGCTAACATGCTAGCTCAACGTAGCCGATAGGGAAGTTCTCATGGACCAAGTTTGGCTCTGTCTCTGTCTGACTCTTACATGTAAAAGGAAACTCCTGGAGCTCAGTATTTGGCTCTAAAACTCTATGGTTCATCGCTCTCAGTTTCTTAAGGGCCAAAGCCACAGGAGGCCCCTAGCGGAGAGAGAAGATGTATGCAATATTACATACAGTTAATATACGGCTCCTCACAGTAGACAATCCATTGATTTGAATGTACTTTTAAATCCTTCTACTGATCATTCGTTCTTGTTTCTTGAAAACGAACATCTCAAACCAATAAGGACCGCTGCCCATTGGCAACGCACTCTGTGTTTGTAAAAATCACTCCACAAGTGGTCCGGCCACTTCGTCAATGAGCTTAGATATGTAGCTAGCCTAGCTGAATCTACTCAAGAATTAAACTGTTTGTGTTCTTTTTTTCTCTGAGCTCTTTTTCCGCCATTTCTCGTAATAAACCTTGATACATATTTGCACAAATCAAGAATATAATCTGTATATAACAACACAAACTGTTTACATGTTTATTTACACTTTTTGACATGTGCAAACTAAACTTCCAGACGAATCCGGTTTCCGGGACGAATCCGGCAGCCACAGTAGCCACACATAGATCCATGGTGTAGCTTCGCTCAATAAACACAAATAACAATCAATCAACAAATTCAACTGTAAATGGGAGAATAATTATACATAAACATTCATGATAAACAACACGGGGGCTATCAGAATGATCTGTTAACAATTTAATGACAAAATACAAATAAAAAGGAATTAACCATTAATGAAATATTTTAGGATCCGATTATGGATTGTGGTTGAGTTTATATTTGGGTCACTCTCTGTTCAGTTTTCATGAAGTTCCAGAGGGTTCTGATTTTGAGGTTGTTACTCGCCTAGCTGGACTACCGTGGGAACTATTTTATTTGCACTCATTAAATAAACCTTTCTGTATTCATAAAAGTGGACTGAAGTTTACTTTGTCTGTTCAGTTGGTACAAAGCCGAATAAGACGTGTGATAATGTCTAGAACGCAGGTCGTTATCGGAAAAGAAGTACCTTCAGGCGGACGCAGCCCCCTTTGCTGCACGTCGAAGTCCAGTTTGTCCTGTTGGTACTTATTTTCCGATACTGACCGGCGTAGTAGTGGTAGTTTATCCGCACCGTGTAAAAGTGAATGAGAAATACAATGAAACGTTTATTATGTAGAAAAATCTTTGCATTATTAATACAGGGGCATGTTTAATAAAGATTGTCCTAATGCAAAAAAATACACACACACACATGCATGCACACACACATGCATGCATGCACACACACACACACACATGCACACACACGCACACACACACACCTACACACGCACACACACAAACACACACACACACACACTCACGCACACACACACACACACACACACACGCACACACACACACACCTACACACGCACACACACACACACACACGCACACACACACACACACACACACACACACACACGCACACACACACACACACACACACACACACACACGCACACACACACACACACACACACACACACACACACACACACACACACACACACACACACATTATTAATCCTAATTTCTCTTCCCTCTCAGTCTTGTCATTAACCCTCCGCGCCCCTCGCTCTCTCCGTCTTCGCAGCCGCCGCTCGATCAGATAGACCCGGTCCGTGCGCGTGAGTGAGTGAGGGCCTGGATAAGCCCTGGAGGGTGCTCCCCCAGGGCGCTGCTCTCTCTCTCCCCCCCCTCTCCCCCCCCCTCATCCCCTACTCTCCCACCTGCACACGGGCCTATCTGCTCCGCCGCCGGTGCCGCAGTGTTAGTATGCATAGAAGTGGGCTATCTGCCTGGATGCACCTTGGCTTCCCCCGACACGCGCGCGGTCACGGCTTTATATATACGCACCACGCGCACACACAAGGAGAGGGAGGGGGGAGAGGGGGTCATAATGATGAGGGGAAACACACAGAATTGGACAATGGGGGCTGGAGGAGGCTGCTGATGCTGCTACTGTTGCTACTACTACTATTACTACATTTACAAAAACTACTACTACTACTGCTACGGATACTACTACATTTACAACTATTACTACTACTACTACTACTACATTTACAACTATTACTACTGCTACTACTGCTGCTGATACTGCTGTTGCTGCTACTCCTACTCTACTACTCCTACTAAAATGCTACTTCTACTACTGCTATTACAAGTGCTATATTGCCTGCTGCTACTCGAGATGGTGATAGCGAGGGGAGTGAGGATTCTGATTTTATTTTGACCCACTCCCATCTTCTCTGCTGAGAAAATCTGACATGGGTCCAGACAACACGCCAACCTCTCCGACTGTTGGGTCTGCAGTATGAAAACAACTTACTATTATTGTTATTATTATTAGTATTATTATTATTATTGTTGTTATTATTATTATTGTTGTTATTATTATTATCGTTGTTATTATTATTATTTTTATGTGGTTTATAGTGTTCTTATGAGAGATGGTCCTATAGTGCACGGTGGCTGAGTGGTTATTATTCTCTCTTCTCAGCAAGAAAGTTTCGTATTTATTTGCTTATTTTTAGGCCTGTTTCCACCTGCCCTACTTAGTCCTAATCTATCCTACTTCTATCCTACTCTACTTTACTGTACTCTACTCTACTCTGGTCTCACTCCCTCTGGTCTCTCTCTAGTTTATCTTGACTCTCACTGGTCTCTGGTTCGAATCCCGGTCTGATCACCATGTACAATAATTATAATCCTCCAGCTTGGGCCCTGACCAACCACACAAACACACATTTAAAATATATTGAGAGACAGACGCAGAGAGAGAGAGACAAAGAGAGACAGAGAGAGCCAGAGAGAAACAGAGAGAGAGACAGAAGCAGAGACAGAGACAGAGAGAGAGACAGAAGCAGAGAGAGAGACAGAAACAGAGACAGAGACAGAGATAGACAAAGAGACAGAGAGAGAGACAGAAGAATAGACAGATACAGAGAGGGACAAAAGCAGAGACAAAGAGAGATATAGATAGACAGAGAGAGACAGAGAGAGAGAGATAGAGACAGAGATAGACAGAGAGATGGAGAGAGAGACAGAAACAGAGACAGAGAGAGACAAAGAGAGAGACAGAGAGAAATATAGAGTGAGAGACAGAGGGATACAGAGAAAGAGACAGGTAGACAGAAAGACAGAGAGATACAGAGAAAGACAGAGGGAGAGACGACAAAAGCTATGTAAGAAGCGACATGTCAAAACAACAGCAACAACACTCCAAGTAAACACAGAAGAAGAATTCCATTTGACAGAGCAGAGACACGTCCTTTGTGCAGGGAGTGAAAGCCTGAGATCCCATTGACCTCGTCTGTAAAGAGGCTGTTGATGGACAGCCGCAGGACACACTGTGCAGGCATTAAAGCTGGGGTGTCTAACTTTCGGACTGTGTAATCAAATCGCTCTCGTTCCTGCTCGGTTCCATCTCCAGTTTTCACATGTTGTCGGTCTCTGTCACATCCGTAGATTAGATTTCTCAGACAGAAACAGTTATACATTTGGCCTTTTCAGAGGAGAATTTGCCCCAGACCTGTTTGGATGAATGCATTCTGCTGGAAAAGAATAAAACACATGCATTTCAAGGACATTTTTGCATCAAGACAAATTTCAAATACATTGCATTTTTAGCACATTCTTAGGCCCGTTTCCACCAGCCCTACTTAGTCTACTTTACTCTACCCTACCCTACTGTACTTCACTCTGTTCTAGTCGACTCTGGTCTCTCTCTGATATCTCTCTTTGGTCTAAAAATGTGACAATATATAAAACACATGCATTTTTTCTCCACTCTACTTTACACTCTTCTCTCTATAGTGTCCCTCTGGTCTCTCTCTCTTGTCTTTCTTTAGTCTAGTCTCTCTCCAGTCCCTCTCTAGTCTCCCTCTTGTCTCTCTCTGGTCTCCCTCTAGTCTCTCTCTAGTCTCAGTCTAGTCTCTCTCTAGTCTCCCTCCAGTCTTTCTCTGGTCTCTTTCTCCAGTGTCCCTCTTGGCTCTCGTCTCTCTCTGGTCTCCTTCTAGTCTCTGGCTGGTCTCTCTTTAACGTGTGCATATTAAAAACTAGTGATAAATGCAACTGTTTTGAGAGTGAAGTACGCCAGATTTAAAATTTCTCTCACTCTCGCTGAGGCCAATTTTACATTTATCTCCTTGTATGCTGCATTCTGGGGACTTCTGCACATTTATTCCAGTGTGGTTTTACTGTAAATGGCAGAAAAAACAAAATTTGAATCTGACAAAGAGCCAGTATGAGAGGAGTAGATGTTGTGTTGCTCAGGTGAGGTTGCCAGATTCTAATATTGTGTCGGACAGAGAAGCAGAGATGAGAGTGAGAGTTCCTGTTTCCTGTCTGTGTCTGTGTCTCCCGCTCGGATTTAGCGCCTGCAGCTGTGTTCCGGTTTGGAGCCTTTCGCCAAAGCAACAATCGCACACCGCAACTAAACCTGGGGACTGCTACACATACACACACACACACACGCACACAAAAAAATACACACTGACACCTATACACACTCAAACATTCTAACACACACACACATATGCGGAAATATAAATATACACAAGCACTGTGCTTTCATAATGCTTTCTGAGTCTCTACGGCCGCTCTCTCTCTCATCTGACTCTTTAGTTTCTCTCTCTGGTTTCTCACTATCGTCTCACTCTTCAGTCTCTTTCTCTCTCTCTCTGGCCTCACTCTTCAGTCTCTCTCTCTCGCTCTCTGGTCTCTCTCTCTCTGGTCTTACTCTCTCTGGCCTCACTCTTCAGTCTCTCTCTCTTTCTCTCTCCCTGTTTGCTCTCTCTTTTTGGCGTCACTCTGTGATCTCTCTCTCTCTCTGGCCTCACTCTTCAGTCTCTCTCTCTTTCTCTCTCCCTGTTTGCTCTCTCTTTTTGGCGTCACTCTGTGATCTCTCTCTCTCTCTGGCCTCACTCTTCAGTCTCTCTCTCTCTGGTCTCTCTTGCTGGTGTCTCTTGCTGGTCTCTCTTGCTGGTCTCTCTTGCTAGTTTCTCTTCCTGGTCTCTCTTGTTGGTTTCTCTTCCTGGTCTCTCTTGCTGGTCTCTCTTGCTGGTGTCTCTTGCTGGTCTCTCTTGCTGGTCTCTCTTGCTAGTTTCTCTTCCTGGTCTCTCTTGCTGGTCTCTCTTGCTGGTCTCTCTCTCTCTCTATCTCTGGTCTCTCTTGCTGGTCTCTCTTGCTAGTTTCTCTTCCTGGTCTCTCTTGTTGGTTTCTCTTCCTGGTCTCTCTTGCTGGTCTCTCTTGCTGGTCTCTCTCTCTCTCTATCTCTGGTCTCTCTTGCTGGTCACTCTCTCTCTCTATCTCTGGTCTCTCTTGCTGGTCTCTCTCTCTCTATCTCTGGTCTCTCTTCCTGGTCTCTCTTGATGGTTTCACCTGCAGCTTTGGCAGAGCAGTGTTTTGCCGGTGCAGAGAGCAGGTCCAATGGAAAGCCTCTTACCGGGTCTGATCCTGGCTCAGGGACAGATGGACCGGCCGTGCCCATGCAGCCGCAGTGTGAGCTCGGCGGGACAGGTGAACCACACACCAGCCTCTCTGTAATCTGGAGCTCAACCAGGATCGCACAATCAACACAGGGACGCACAACCACAGTGTGAAGCCGAGGGGCAATGGGAGAGAGGCCAGGTATGAGTGTGTGTGTGTGTGTGTGCGGGTATGTATGTGTGTGTGTGTGAGTGCATATGTGTGACTGCGTGTGTGTATGTACTGTATATGTATAAGTATGTGTATTAAATTTCAAAGTTATTCAATGTATTTTTGTAATATTGTCTTCCTACCAATGTCTGTACCTATCTTTTTTGTGAGTGTGTGTGTGTATGTGTGTGTGTGCATGTACTGTATATGTATTTGTGTGTGTGTGTGCGCGTATTGAATTTCAAAGTCCATCCATCCATTTTCTTCCCCTTAATCCATTTCTGGGTTGGGGGGGTGGCAGTCAGAGCTGCACCCAGTCACAGGGCACCAGCCCCTCACTGATCCTCCTGCAGGTGGTGAGTCCACAGGAGCTGAGATCTTTCAGTGGGGGCTTCAGGCAAAGTGGGTTTAAGTGTCTTGGCCAAGGACACAACAACAGCAGTCATCAGTGGGAGTCATGAAGTAGGTCTTACGGTGGGCTCGAACCCACAACCTTCAGGCCCAAAGGCAAATACTCGACCAACTGAGCTACTGTCGCCCCTAAATTTCAAAGTAATTACATTTATTCTTGTAATGTTGTCTACCTACCAATGTGTGTACCTATATGTGTATGTGTATGTTCATGTTCAGAACTCACATCCACCTTTGAGACCATGTGGGATTCTCTCATAAAATGACATTCTCTACCTTCTTGCGTCTTCAATCACAGCATGCAATGTTTGATGTGACAAAAAAGACAGTACACACCTGTATTTGGTGTTCAAACCACATTCTAATTCCATGCAATGCTTTTTTGTATATAGCCTTGAACGCTTAACCTGGCAAGAGCCAGATTGATGAATATGTAGAACTCTAATGCGTTCTCCACAATATCAATCTGGGACTTCTGCAGGAGAATCCTTTCGGGGAAAGGAGGGATAAGCAGCAGAATACTTCAAGCTGATTGGGCGAAGTGACGCTGTGTGCCCGCCTACCAAGGTTTGCCAAAACCCG